CCTATCCCTCCTACTCCCTATCCCTCCTACTCCCTGTCCGCCACTGCTCCCTATCCCTCCTACTCCCTATCCCTCCTACTCCCTGTCCGCCACTGCTCCCTATCCCTCCTACTCCCTATCCCTCCTACTCCCTGTCCGCCACTGCTCCCTATCCCTCCTACTCCTTATCCCTCCTACTCCCTATCCCTCCTACTCCCTATCCCTCCTACTCCCTATCCCTCCTACTCCCTATCCCTCCTACTCTCTATCCCTCCTACTCCCTATCCCTCCTACTCCCTGTCCGCCACTGCTCCCTATCCCTCCTACTCCCTATCCCTCCTACTCCCTGTCCGCCACTGCTCCCTATCCCTCCTACTCCTTATCCCTCCTACTCCCTATCCCTCCTACTCCCTATCCCTCCTACTCCCTATCCCTCCTACTCCCTATCCCTCCTACTCTCTATCCCTCCTACTCCCTATCCCTCCTACTCCCTATCCCTCCTACTCCCTATCCCTCCTACTCCCTATCCCTCCTACTCCCTATCCCTCCTACTCCCTATCCCTCCTACTCCCTATCCCTCTTACTCCCTATCCCTCCTACTCCCTATCCCTCCTACTCCCTATCCCTCCTACTCCCTATCCCTCCTACTCTCTATCCCTCCTACTCCCTATCCCTCCTACTCCCTATAGGCATGGACAGACAGGCGAGCCCAGTCTGGCCCGTCTAGCTGGTTTGACTATAGGATTGCCAAATGATGAATCGCGCCGGTTCGCCTCGAAGCGCTGCCTGGCAAGGCCTGGACCCAGGACCCTTGCGTTAATTTTTGCGAAGGGGTCCTTCCTTGTAGGAGCATTCGTTGAAAATCTGAAGCTCATGTTTTAGCTCCAGCCTTCCTCTTGTTGGTCAGCCTAGTCCCCAGTCTCATTCTTCACAACCTACCCGTCCTCTCCACAGTGAATTTCCATTTCCAATAATTAGTGAAACTGATATGTCCAGCTCATGCTCATGCCTGCCCTGGCCTATCCATCACTGCACCCTATCCCCTGTGCCACTGCTCTCACTTGCGCACCCCTACCCGCCCCTCCTGCACCCGTATCCACCACTCTGCTCCCCTGGCCCTCACTGCATGCAATGCAACAGCTCCATGTGGAAGCACAACCTGTCAGGCAGCATTCCCGAGTCCTCACCCCTATCTGCCCCTCCTGCATCCCTATCCGTCCACCCTGCATGCACCCCTGGCCCTCACGGCATGCAACAGCTCCGTGTGGAAGAACAACCTGTCAGGCAGCATTCCCGAGTCCATAGGCAGCCTCACCAGGCTCAGCAGCCTGTCAGTCGCTCACCACCACCACCTGTTCTTGCACCTCGTGCTGCTTTGGAGGCGCCTACCCTTGCACCTCATGCTGCTTTGGAGGCGCCTACCCTTGCACCTCATGCTGCTTTGGGGGTTCCTACCCATTGCAAGAGCTTATCTGCTGTGCCCTCCCATCAGCAGCCTCACAAGCTCAGCAGCCTGTCAGTACCACCATTGTCGAACCCCCTCAACATATGTTGGTCCTGAGACTTCTGCGAGTTGAAAAAATTTCTCACATGAGACGTCTCAAGGCATGAGCAACAATCCGAACCCTTACTGTATCTTCTCTTCGTTTTGCCACGGTAGTTTAGGTGTCTGTATCTGCCTAGCATTCTCTAGAAGGGTGCGTGCTGTGAGGCTGGGGCCACAATCGTAGCTAAGTTTTTTTGTAGTGAATGTTCTGGTCGCACCGAACCTGGACCAATTTGAACCGAACCGGCTCTGGTTCGGTTCAAGCTGGCTCAGTTCTGCCTACCCATAAGGGTCGAACCTCGAACGGCAAATCAGTGCCTGCCAGGTGGAACTTGTTCGAGTTCAAGAGCCCCAAAACAAAACTGGTTCGGTTTGATTATTTGTTTGTGCTTCGTCTCAAAAAAAGCCTATTAGTATTTCCAACGCCACCCTCTCATTGCAGGTTTCCCTTGCAGCTGATGCAGGGAGGTGAGAGGGGCAGCAGTACACTTCTAGAGAGTATACACTTCCTTTTGTTTCGTTTCTCCTCTCGCAGCAATACATGACCAGAGGGGCAACATCACGTGCTTGCTCCCAAAACCTTCCCACCTCTGCTCATGCTCTTGTTTCACGAGAGTATCTGCTGTGCACGGCGCCACCTCCCCTCCCCTCCACTCGTGCAGTAGGAACGAACAGCCGATGATCGATGATGTGAATGACGGGGCAGACGCGTGTGTTGCAGGGACAAGGCTGTGAGCAAGCAGTGTGTTGCAGGGACAAGGCTGTGAACAAGCACTCAATGATGTGTCTCACAACGCTGACGAGTGTGTTGCAGGGACTTGTCAGACAACCAGCTCGAGGGAACCATCCCCGAGGGCATTGGCAACATGAAGGATATTCGGAAATTGTGAGATCGCTCAATGATTCCTCCAATCTGGATTCCCACCTTCAATCGTCTTCATCCTACAGCCATGGTGGGAACCAGACTCTCAGGGTTGTTTTGATTGCATTCCCTCCCCTCTCTCGTACCCTTGTTTTGATTACATTCCCTCCCCTCTCTCGCACCCCCACAACATGCCATTCCAACTCGGTGTGCCTTCCACTCCATGCCGTGTAGGTCTGTCGGTTGTACCTTCTTATCACTGGAGAAGCGCCATCACTCTGTGTCATGCCGTCTGTCACTGTGTGTGCCGTCTGTCACTGTGTGTGCCGTCTGTCACTGTGGGTGCCGTCTATTACTGTGTGTGCCGTCTTTGACTGCGTTGCATGAGCTGGCAGGGATCTCTCCAACAACCACTTGACCGGCACCCTCCCCACCACCCTCTCTCGCCTCTCTGGCTTGTTTCAGCTGTGAGTCGCGATTCACAAGGCAGCAGGGGCACGTGGGTGCATGGGGACATGGACGCATGGATGCATGCATGGGACGTGGATGAATGGGTGCATGCATGCATGGGGACATGGATCTATGTGCTTATAGGACATAGTATCCATTTGGTTCATGCATGAGGACATGGATCTATGTACCTATGTGCCAATTCACATTTGGTTCTTTGGCTCATTTGAATCATTTGGCTCATTCGAATCATTTGGCTCATTTGAATCATTTGGCTCATTGGAATCATTTTGCTAATTTGAATCATTTGGCTCATTTGAATCATTTGGCTCATTTGAATTATTTGGCTCATTTAAATCATTTGGCTCATTTGAATTATTTGGCTCATTTAAATCATTTGGCTCATTTGAATCATTTGGCTCTTCCACAGGTTCCTCAGCCACAACAACCTGAGTGGCTCATTTCCTCTGTGGATTACAGAGATGTCCAGCATTGGATGGCTGTGAGTGCATTGGATGGCTGTGAGTGCATTGCAAAGAGAGTGACTATTGCCAACCTGCTCTGTGGTAGTGACATGAGCACTGAGCAGTACCCCAGTTGCACCCTATGCCTGAGGGTGGAGTGATACATACATGCACTCACGGCATTCATTGCATCAGGACTGTCCGTTGCATTGCCAGTGTGACCTGTGCTGCTCTGCTGCAAACAACCCATGTGTTCGTTGCAATCTTGCACGAAACTTACCTTCAAATGAGGTTGTGCGTGTGATGCTCTGTGCTGCTCCTCTCGTCTGCTGCGCTGTCTACATGTACCATGTGTTTGTGTTATGTGTGTACCATGTGTTTGTGTTATGTACATGTACCATGTGTTTGTGTTATGTGTGCTCTTGTACATGTACCATGTGTTTGTGTTATGTGTGTACCCTCTATAACGCACAGCCACATGCAGTGCCGTCCACACCACCCACATCCTTCCCACGCTTTTCTGTCTCCCCAAACCCCTCTCCCCCCCGCCCCTCCTGGAAACAACCTCCGGGCTGTTGTTGGGGATATGGGGCGCTGGCCACCAATAGAGTTCAGCATATTGCCACTATTGTGTTTTTTACTGGATTAGGTTTTGGTTGCTGTCGTTTTTGCTCCTCCACACCGCATCCAACCGTCTGCACATGCCGCTCAACACATTCGTGCCGCTCCTTCCATTGTCTCGGATGGTGTCTGGTTGCGCGTCTATTGCATTGCAGATACCTCAGTGACAACAATTTCTCAGGCCCCGTACCTGCTGCTCTCACACATCCACATGCATGAGTGCCGCCCACACCACACACATCCGACTCAGGTCTCTTTTTTATCCGTCCGTTGCATTGCAGATACCTCAGTGACAACAATTTCTCAGGCCCGGTACCTGCTGCTCTTGGCGGCTCCAAAGGCCTCATCTTTCTGTGAGTGACCTGCTGTGCAGTGTGCTCTGACCATCATGTCCTCTTGCTTTCACCATCATGTCCTCTAGCTTTCACCATTATGTCCTCTAGCTTTCACCATCATGTCCTCTTGCTTTCACCATCATCTCCTCTTGCTTTCACCAACATGTCCTCTTGCTTTCACCATCATGTCCTCTTGCTTTCACCATCATGTCCTCTTGCTTTCACCATCATGTCCTCTTGCTTTCACCATCATCTCCTCTTGCTTTCACCATCATGTCCTCTTGCTTTTCCTTTCCTATTGCAGGCTGCATGTCACATGCATAAGACACATCCTTGTATTTGCCATCCCTTTCCTGTGTTCTCATCATGCTTTGGCATTCCCCTTCGATGCGTGTGATAACCCTCGCCCTGTTTCACCCCCCTCGCCCTGTTTCACCCCCCTCGCCCTGTTTCACCCCCCTCGCCCTGTTTCACCCCCCTCCATCCACCATCTCCTTCCATCCAATAGTGAAATATCAGGTTCGGGTCTCACTTGCCCTCCAAATGCTTCCAGCTGTGTGGTTCAGCAAAGGAACTACAGTGCTTTCTGTCAAGACTGCCATGGCTTCTGTGCCACGTGCACAAGTGATGAATGTGAGCATTTCATTTGTTTTGGGGCATTACAGTTTTTGAGCCGACCCAAAGGGTGCTTTTGCTACGACTGAATGAGTCGACCCAAAGTGTGCTTCCGATGAGTCGACCCTAAAGGGTGCTTCTGTTACGACTGCATGAGTCAACCGTTAAGGGTGCTTCTGTTACGACTGCATGAGTGGACCCTAAAGGGTGCTTCTGTTACGACTGCGTGAGTCGACCCTAAAGGGTGCTTCTGTTACGACTGCATGAGTGGACCCTAGAGGGTGCTTCTGTTACGGCTGCATGAGTCGTCCCAAAGGGTGCTTTTGCTACGACTGCATGAGCTTCTGTGCCACGTGTACTATAGATGAAGGTGAGCTGGTTGGAGCGTTGCCAGTCAGAACTAGGCTCTGCCAAGTAAAACCGCGCCGATCAAGTGTAAAGTCCCACCCAACCATGCCAGCCAATGCCATTCCACCAATAGATGCGAAGTCACGCCACTCTCAATGCCATTTCCCTGCCAATCAATGCTAAGTCATGCCAGCCAATGCCACGTCATGCCAGCCAACGCCACGTCATGCCAGTCAATGCCACGTCATGCCAGCCAACGCCACGTCATGCCAGCCAACGCCACGTCATGCCAGCCAACACCACGTCATGCCAGCCAACGCCAAGTTGTGCCTTCTATTCTACTCCAGCCTCATGCGCGCACAGCCGGAACACTATTTTCTCAACTTGTTATTCTGGTGCTTCAACACTTGTGGTTCTGGTGTTTGAATGCTTGTGAGTCTGGTGTGCCTGTGCATGTGTCCCTCTGCAGCAGCCCCACCCCCATCACCAAGCGTGGCCTCCCCTCCACCATCCCCATCCCCATCACCCAATCAACCCGTCAATCCCTCCTCCTCCTCCTTGCCCTCCTCCACCTCATCCGCTCCCTCCTCCCAATCCGGCCTGTCTGTGGGAGCTGTCATTGGGATTGTGATAGCAGCCCTTCTGCTCTTGCTTCTCCTGCTCGCCTCAGCTTGGTGGCTTGCCACCCGCTTCAAGATTTCCACAAGAGGTAGGTATGTTACATGTTTGCCTTTTGTCATGGGATGGGAGCACAGGCAGGTGCGTGAGAACCACCTCAAGTCTATCAGATTTTAGCAATGAGCACCATATCAACTCCATATCATTTCTCTAACGTATCTTGCAAAACAGTTGTGTTCTCAGCTGTGTTACTACTTCTCACAAAAAACAAAAAAAACACTGGCATTTACCGACCATGCCATGCTGCCCACATACAGACTCCCCCAGCCCACAGTTAGGGAACACAACAACACCATGTCGGCGGTACTCGCTGGCGCTGGTGGCCCGTGCAACCAACAACTGGTCCAAGGAGTGCCTGCTGGGGTCGGGGTCATATGGAGACGTGTACCGTGGGGTGTGCCCCGAGGATGGCTCCACGCTGTGGGCCGTGAAGCGCGCCAAAGTCATCACCGCTGACTTCCACAGAGAGGTGCGTCAAGCCAACACAGCTGGCTTCCACAGAGAGGTGCGTCAAGCCAACACAGCTGGCTTCCACAGAGAGGTGCGTCAAGCCAACACAGCTGGCTTCCACAGAGAGGTCCGTCAAGCCAACACAGCTGGCTTCCACAGAGAGGTGCGTCTAGCCAACACAGCTGGCTTCCACAGAGAGGTGGGCCACCCTCGGCACGACTATTTGTGGGGCGCCTTGAAACTATACCCCTTTGAAGAAGTGTACCATACGGGGTATCTCCTGCCTTGAGACAAGCAAGGGCGACTAGGGGATACGTTTTTGTGGGATTTTGCCATCTTAAGCATGGTGACATATACATATGTGTGTAGATATATATTTGTTCGGCCTGTCTACTGTCGAATATTCTTGTCCTTCTCTTCAATATTGTGTGTGTGCCACACTTCTGAAAGAAAGAAAGCCAAAGAAAGAAAGGAGGATTGAAAGAAAAGTAGAAAGCACGAAAATACTGAAACAGAGTGTTCGAAGAAAAGTCAAACCTCTATACACCAAGAAGGTATCATGATCAGCCGTGCCTTAATGAACTCTTCTCCTTTCGACTTTCCACGGCTCAGACCGTTTGCCTTGGCAAAAACCGTGGGTCACCCCAACAGGAACTTCACTTCACAAGGACTTAGGGGAAGGAGAAAGTGTGTTACGAACGCTAGGAGCCAAAATCAATGAGAGGAAAAGTGTACTAGGCTTGTGAAGGTACAAGGGTGTAAAATAGGTCAGGGCAAAACCCCATCCGGACCTAGGGCATGTTTCTTGTAGGGAAACCGCGCATGAGTCAAACCTAGGATGAAACCAACTCTAAAGAATATCAATAATATATATAGCCAGTACAGAGCAGAAGTTAGGCTACTCCAACAAAAAAGGAATAAAACTGGGGAATATTTGAATGACATGTAATGATGAAAGCGTTGACACACAAGACGTGTGTGAAATTTTTAATGACAACATTTCTGTGTGCATCGAAAACCGATTTACCTGGGTTCTGTCCACGTCAGTCCCTTTGCTGTTCTCCAATCTTTTGGCCTCGCGCTTACAAATCAGATGGTCACGAAGCTTCAGGTGTCTCACGAGTCTGTCTGTACCAGTCTCGGTTATTCTCTGTTCATTATCTTATGCAAGTGCCTCAGCTGGACTTTGAGTCGACTCTAAAGGCTTGCCTCTCTCTGTCCTCATGCACTTGTTTGTAGTCAACATGCACTACTGTCATTCCCTCCTTCCTTCCTCCCCCTCTCTCTTCTTTTGCACAACCACAGGTGGCGCAGATGGCAACGAAGCACTTGCGTCAATTCTTCCTTCCTTCCTATCCTCTCTCCTATGCTCTACCACAGGTGGCGCAGATGGCAACGAAGCACCATCCAAATCTGGTGCGGCTGCTGGGGTATGCAGTGGGAGGCCATGTGAACACGCGGGTGGAGAACATTCTCGTCTACGAGTTCATCGCCAACGGCGACCTGCGCCACTGGATTGGCCCAGGTACCATCCCGTCCATTTTGTTGTGTAGCACGTGGATCGCCCCAGGTACTGCCCGGTCCTCTGTTGTGTAGCAGCTGGATCGCCCCAGGTATTATCTGGTCCTTCTTGTTGTGTGCTGTGTCAACCATGAGTCATCTGTGTGGATAGATGGATCAGACGTGTAGGATAAAGAGAGGCTGAAGTGCTTCTATGCTCTATCCACAAGAGCCAGTGGCCAAGCCATGGCTTGTAAACCACCTGCCAGCTCCAAGTTGGCGAATGCAGGCGCAGTGGAAGCTCCGACCACGGTGAGAGTGAAGTGCCAATCGCGCTGATGCCGGTTCCCATGTCTTACAGTACACAATTGACCCCGCAAGTTTGACTCGGCAAAACTGGGTTGGCCTTCCTCATACGAGTTGCTAATTGCTTCTGGGTCCTGTTCCTGTGCAAAGCAGCGACTCTAATGCTGCTTCCCTCCAATGCTGCTTCCCTCCAATGCTGCTTCCCTCCAATGCTGCTTCCCTCCAATGCTGCTTCCCTCCAATGCTGCTTCCCTCCAATGCTGCTTCCCTCCAATGCTGCTTCCCTCCAATGCTGCTTCCCTCCAATGCTGCTTCCCTCCAATGCTGCTTCCCTCCAATGCTGCTACCCTCCAATGCTGCTTCCCTCCAATGCTGCTTCCCTCCAATGCTGCTTCCCTCCAATGCTGCTTCCCTCCAATGCTGCTTCCCTCCAATGCTGCTTCCCTCCAATGCTGCTGCTTCCCTCCAATGCTGCTTCCCTCCAATGCTGCTTCCCTCCAATGCTGCTTCCCTCCAATGCTGCTTCCCTCCAATGCTGCTACCCTCCAATGCTGCTACCCTCCAATGCTGCTTCCCTCCAATGCTGCTTCCCTCCAATGCTGCTACCCTCCAATGCTGCTTCCCTCCAATGCTGCTTCCCTCCAATGCTGCTTCCCTCCAATGCTGCTTCCCTCCAATGCTGCTTCCCTCCAATGCTGCTTCCCTCCAATGCTGCTTCCCTCCAATGCTGCTTCCCTCCAATGCTGCTTCCCTCCAATGCTGCTTCCCTCCAATGCTGCTTCCCTCCAATGCTGCTTCCCTCCAATGCTGCTTCCCTCCAATGCTGCTTCCCTCCAATGCTGCTTCCCTCCAATGCTGCTTCCCTCCAATGCTGCTTCCCTCCAATGCTGCTTCCCTCCAATGCTGCTACCCTCCAATGCTGCTACCCTCCAATGCTGCTTCCCTCCAATGCTGCTACCCTCCAATGCTGCTTCCCTCCAATGCTGCTACCCTCCAATGCTGCTTCCCTCCAATGCTGCTTCCCTCCAATGCTGCTTCCCTCCAATGCTGCTTCCCTCCAATGCTGCTTCCCTCCAATGCTGCTTCCCTCCAATGCTGCTTCCCTCCAATGCTGCTTCCCTCCAATGCTGCTTCCCTCCAATGCTGCTTCCCTCCAATGCTGCTTCCCTCCAATGCTGCTTCCCTCCAATGCTGCTTCCCTCCAATGCTGCTTCCCTCCAATGCTGCTTCCCTCCAATGCTGCTTCCCTCCAATGCTGCTTCCCTCCAATGCTGCTTCCCTCCAATGCTGCTTCCCTCCAATGCTGCTTCCCTCCAATGCTGCTTCCCTCCAATGCTGCTTCCCTCCAATGCTGCTTCCCTCCAATGCTGCTTCCCTCCAATGCTGCTTCCCTCCAATGCTGCTTCCCTCCAATGCTGCTTCCCTCCAATGCTGCTTCCCTCCAATGCTGCTTCCCTCCAATGCTGCTTCCCTCCAATGCTGCTTCCCTCCAATGCTGCTTCCCTCCAATGCTGCTTCCCTCCAATGCTGCTTCCCTCCAATGCTGCTTCCCTCCAATGCTGCTTCCCTCCAATGCTGCTTCCCTCCAATGCTGCTTCCCTCCAATGCTGCTTCCCTCCAATGCTGCTTCCCTCCAATGCTGCTTCCCTCCAATGCTGCTTCCCTCCAATGCTGCTTCCCTCCAATGCTGCTTCCCTCCAATGCTGCTTCCCTCCAATGCTGCTTCCCTCCAATGCTGCTTCCCTCCAATGCTGCTTCCCTCCAATGCTGCTTCCCTCCAATGCTGCTTCCCTCCAATGCTGCTTCCCTCCAATGCTGCTTCCCTCCAATGCTGCTTCCCTCCAATGCTGCTTCCCTCCAATGCTGCTTCCCTCCAATGCTGCTTCCCTCCAATGCTGCTTCCCTCCAATGCTGCTTCCCTCCAATGCTGCTTCCCTCCAATGCTGCTTCCCTCCAATGCTGCTTCCCTCCAATGCTGCTTCCCTCCAATGCTGCTTCCCTCCAATGCTGCTTCCCTCCAATGCTGCTTCCCTCCAATGCTGCTTCCCTCCAATGCTGCTACCCTCCAATGCTGCTACCCTCCAATGCTGCTTCCCTCCAATGCTGCTTCCCTCCAATGCTGCTTCCCTCCAATGCTGCTTCCCTCCAATGCTGCTTCCCTCCAATGCTGCTTCCCTCCAATGCTGCTTCCCTCCAATGCTGCTTCCCTCCAATGCTGCTTCCCTCCAATGCTGCTTCCCTCCAATGCTGCTTCCCTCCAATGCTGCTTCCCTCCAATGCTGCTTCCCTCCAATGCTGCTTCCCTCCAATGCTGCTTCCCTCCAATGCTGCTTCCCTCCAATGCTGCTTCCCTCCAATGCTGCTTCCCTCCAATGCTGCTACCCTCCAATGCTGCTACCCTCCAATGCTGCTTCCCTCCAATGCTGCTTCCCTCCAATGCTGCTACCCTCCAATGCTGCTACCCTCCAATGCTGCTTCCCTCCAATGCTGCTTCCCTCCAATGCTGCTACCCTCCAATGCTGCTTCCCTCCAATGCTGCTACCCTCCAGTGCTGCTACCCTCCAATGCTGCTACCCTCCAATGCTGCTTCCCTCCAATGCTGCTTCCCTCCAATGCTGCTTCCCTCCAATGCTGCTACCCTCCAATGCTGCTACCCTCCAATGCTGCTACCCTCCAATGCTGCTACCCTCCAATGCTGCTTCCCTCCAATGCTGCTACCCTCCATTGCTGCTACCCTCCAATGCTGCTACCCTCCAATGCTGCTACCCTCCAATGCTGCTACCCTCCAATGCTGCTACCCTCCAATGCTGCTTCCCTCCAATGCGTGCCTCGGCTCTGCCATTCTCCAGATGCGCCCACGAGTTTGACTCTGCAGCAGCGGATGGGCATCCTACTAGGGGTGGCACGTGGGTTGGAGTATCTCCACAGCTTTGGCCTCGTGCACCGCGACATCAAGCCAGCCAACATCCTCCTTGACGCCCACATGCAGGTGCGGTGCGGTGCAGTGATGAGATTTTGGCAAGACATTTTCTCCGCATGATAAGGCGTTCGTGGTTCTTCCATTCGTTTTGGGCTTTAAAAGACCCCGTATCGAAGGGAGTGCAGGCGCGGTGGTCAGGTGTTACAACCATCTTCGAATCATATCAAACCACACTCCCAATCAGATAATCTCATCCTGTCTGAATCATATGAAACCATGTTTCCCTAATCCTCCTCCGCCTCTCTTCTTGCCTCCCGTGCCCGTCCTTCTCAGGCGAAGGTGGCAGACTTTGGGCTTGTGCACGTGGGGGAGGGCACAGCAGCGGGCACGGCAACGGGCTTCACGCGAGTGCTGGGAACGGTGGGCTATGTGGACCCTGCTTACTCGCTCACGCACAACGCCACCACCACTGCTGACGTTTACAGGTGCAGTGCAGATTTGAATGCCGGTTTTTAAGCCAAGTGACACCTGTTAGAATATAGCATAATGTATGTTTATATTTGTGCATGTGTTACACCCTAAAGTGGGTGTACACTTTGGGTCAAGGCGACCCAACCAATTTTGGTTGGGCGCCCCCAAACCCAACTCGACCGCAATTGATGGGGGGGGGCCAATAATGGTCCCCTCCAACGATTGTTGGTTACCCCAGCAATTGTTGGTCGACCCAATCTGATTGGTCCACCAATAAATGCTGAGGGTACCCCACTTCGTTCCCAAAACTTCTCATCTCCTATATGTACCGACACTCTTTCTAATCAACACAACACTTGAGATTCTTTCATGGTATTCAGAGCCAATTGGCAAACGCCCCTCTCGACCTCTTTCTCTCAAGTTTTTTTTTTCCTCCCCGCTCGTCAGGACCCTTCCGTCCTGCCCATGCAACTTGTTGCGTGGGTTTGACTTGGTTGAAGTTCAATCTTCCGTAAAGTACAACCAGTCACCACCTCCCTCCAGCTCCTACTCTATCTCTCGTAAGGCGAATTTCTCGCCTCAGCTCCTGCCGCCGCATTTACGTTCTCAGCTGCCGGCGTCTCAATCGCCGCGACCTATCCGCCGTCGCCACTACTCTCGCACCGCTTTTCTTCCTTGCGGGGCATTTCGCCGCCGCCGCCGCTGCTTCACTCGCCGCGGGGCATTTCGCCGCCGCCGCCACTGTTCCCACTCGCCGCGGGGCATTTCGCCGCCGCCGCCACTGCTCCCACTCGCCGCGGGGCATTTCGCCGCCGCCGCCACTGCTCCCACTCGCCGCGGGGCATTTCGCCTCCGCCGCCACTACTCCACTCGCCGCGGGGCATTTCGCCGCCGCCGCCACTGCTCCCACTCGCCGCGGGGCATTTCGCCGCCGCCGCCTCTGCTCCCACTCGCCGCGGGGCATTTCGCCGCCGCCGCCACTGCTCCCACTCGCCGCGGGGCATTTCGCCTCCGCCGCCACTGCTCCCACTCGCCGCGGGGCATTTCGCCTCCGCCGCCACTACTCCACTCGCCGCGGGGCATTTCGCCGCCGCCGCCACTGCTCCCACTCGCCGCGGGGCATTTCGCCGCCGCCGCCACTGCTCCCACTCGCCGCGGGGCATTTCGCCTCCGCCGCCTCTACTCACTCGCTGCGGGCAATTTGCCGCCGCCACTGCCTCTCCTCGCTGCAAGACACTTCGCCGCGGCTGCTCCTACTCTCCCTCGCCGCCAGGCACTTAGCTACTGCCTCATCTCTTCCTCCCCGCCGCTCCCTCGACCCTTCCCCCCCCCCCCATTGCTTCCGCCCACCGTTTCCTCTCCCGCTGCCTCTCTCATACTATCTCTGCTCTCCGCCTCTCCTGCCACGCTACTGCTCCCAATCCTCTCCCACGTGCTGCTACTAACCCCCCTCCTCCTCTCCCTCGCTTCTAACCTGCCTCGCTTTCGCTCGCTACTAACATTTTTTCTCCCCTCACATCGCACTAACTTACTGCTATGGCTGCTCCTTCTCTTCCTCAGAATTTCAACACTCTCTCCATTGATCGGCTCGAGCTCGCTCCCGATCAGAGCGCTATCAACTGGTACTCCTACACAGGGAGCATGCGCCGCCTCCTCGGCGTCATCCACATCCCCAACACCTCCTCCACCCTCCTCGACCTTGTCCTCCGCCATGCTGCCGCTCTCCCGCCAACGCCCCCTATGTCCCCTGGATCGGCCCCCACTCTCCCGCCTGACCCTGGACCTGAACCTGACGAACCAGATCTGCCCGCTGCCTCCACGGATCCTGTTCGCCAAGCCGCTGATGAAGCAGCCTACGATCTCGAGCGGCGTCGGTTCCTCACGCTCCGAGCGGACCATCGTGCGGCTCGCGAGCAATACGACATGCGCCAAGCTGCCATAATAAATCACCGCACCATGGCTGACCGCTACACTCTCGCGCTCGCTGAATATACCGCTAAAGCTGCTGCTTGGAAGGAATCTGACCTTTCTGCCTCTAATATTATCCTTGGTGGTCTCCCCCCCGCTCTAATGCGAGACTTTCAGGAACAAGAGCTTCACGCACCTGCCCTTTGGGCCTCCCTTCACGCCATGTTTGAGCGCCATGACGTCAACTCCGTGGGGCTGCTCCTTGACGAATACTGGGAGACAACGCTCGCAACCTGCACTGGTGCCGTCGCCTACACCGGCCGCATGACCTCTCTCGCCAAGCGACTTAAGGCTCGCCAGTCCGAACTCCCCCAGTTCATCCAGATAGATCGCCTTCTCCGCGGTCTCAACCCGTCCTACGACATGCACGTCATTGCCTTCCGCGAAAATCAGCCGTTTGCGGATGTTGCTGCTGTTGTTCAATGGATCATTGACACCGAAACCCGCCTCCTTCGTACCAACCCGCCTTCTCTCAACACGGCTCAAGCACCCGCGCCAGAACTCAACGCCACCCAGACACGCGGTGGTGGGCGTGGTGGTGGTCGCGGTGGCGGACGTGGAGGTGGGCGTGGTGGCGGCCGTGGTGGTGGACGTGGTGGCACCTTTGGTGGACGCACTCCTTCTTGCACGGGCGGCCCTGGAGGAAGTGGACGTGGTGGTAGCGGACCTGGTCAACTCCCCCCCTGCCCCTACGTTCGCCGTCACGGCCCTCGCGCTGGGGAACCCTGCGGTCAAACCAACCACCCCATAACCACCTGCTTCGGCGTCTTGGACGATGCCTGGTTTGATCGTGGTAACCATGGTACCCCCCCCCGCTGGTCCGCTCTTGCAAGTCGTCCCACTGTCCATGATGTTCAACATCTCCCTCTCTATCAACCCTCCCACCTTAACCTCACCACTCCCTCTCCTCAACTGCAACTCCAGCAGTTTTTGCAGCATCTTCAGTCACAGCAGTTGCAGCAGCCCCCGCAGCTGCCCCCACAGCCGCAGCCGCACCAGCAGCCACAGCAGCCGCCCTGGGGAGGGGGGGGAGGCGCAGCCGCCACAGCAGCGGCAGCGGCAGCAGCAGCAGCAGCAGCAGCAGCAGCAACTGCCGCCTGGCAGCAGCAACCTCTTGGCTTCGGTTCTGCCGCCACCGCCGCCCATACCTCCCCAGCTGAGTCATACTCTAGCTTTCTTGGTCAGCTAGCTTCTCCCTTGCCTAGCACCACCTCCATGTATCCCTCTGTTCTTAATAACAGTGACTTCCAGTATTCTGCGTCTCCTTCCCCGCTCACCTTGGACTTTGTCCTCGATAGCGGGGCCACCGTCAGTGCCCTGAAGGACGCTGGCATTCTCAAAACACTATCTCTCCCCTCCACTGTTCATGGCGCTGATTCTAGCTTCTCGATCCCATGCACACACTCCTCTACTCTTCCGTGTCCCCTCTTTCCCTCCGGCACTATCACTGGCCTCCACATTCCCACTCTTCGTCACAACCTTATTTCTCTTCATGATCTCCAAAAAGCCGGCATTACCGCCATTTTTCCTGCCCACTTTTCCTATTGCGATCTCATTCATACCTCCACTGGCCGCCTTGTCTATCGCCTCCCAATCTGCCCCCGCACTCACCTTTACACACTACGTCTCCCTTTTCCGGCATCATGTCATCTCACCACCCGTCGCTCCACCTACCCTTCTCCCACCATTGCTCCTCCCCCTTCATCATCTCCCACTCCCTCTACCTCTCCCGACCTCTCCCTCTCTCACCCCGCCATTCTCCTCCATCACCGTCTTGGTCACCCCAACTTCACCACCCTCCGTGCCGCAATATCCTCTCGCCTCCTTCATGGGCTCCCCCCTGCCCTTCCTCCCCTACCCACCTCACCAGCTCCTCCTTGTCCCACTTGCATTCATGGCAAACTCAAACAAAAACCCCATCACAGCCATCCCTCATTTGCTACTGCTCCCCTAGATCTCGTCCACATGGACCTCTGGGGTCCCTCCCCCTCCCCTTCCCGCCAGGGCCACCGCTTTATGCTCGTCCTCGTAGACGACCATAGCCGCTACTCCTCTGTGTTTCTACTCCACACGAAAGCTGAAGCAGCCGCTGTCATCATCGCCTGGGCCGAACAAGCGCGCGTGCACTTCGGCCGACCCATCCGTCGCCTTCACTCTGACGGTGGCGGGGAGTTTCTCAACCATACCATTGCCTCCTACTGCAAAGCACATGGCACTCAACAGACGTCCACTCTCCCTCATTCTCCGCAACAAAACGGTGTAGCTGAAAGTCGCATCCGTGAGATCACCAAAACTGCCCGCTGTCTCCTCACCCATGCATCTACCCCTCCCTCCCTTTGGGGCTATGCTCTCACTCATGCCGCCCTTCTCACCAACCTCTACCCTCACCCCCACCATCCCAACCTCACTCCCACTGAGCTTTGGTGCAACACCAAACCTGATGCCTCCGTCCTTCGCGTCTGGGGCTGCAAATCCTTTGTTCTCATTCCTCCCGCAGACCGTTCCCGCAAAGCAGGAAAACTTGCCTCCAAAGCATTGGAGTGCGTCTACCTCGGCCACAATCGTGGCTCTCCTGGGTACCTCTTCCTTCATCCTCCCTCCGGACGCCTCATTCGCAGCCGCGATGTCGTCTTCGATGAAACCATCCCCTACTACTCCTCTCCTCCTCCCTCCGACCCTCTCCCCCCACCCTCCCGCCCACTCACCTGGGCGGATGCCCTTCTTCCTCCTCTCCTCCCATCTGCTCCACTCCTCCCAACTACTCCACTCTCACCTCCACCTTCCTCGGCTGATATCTATGATCCTGCTGCCTCACCTGCCCTTTCCACCGCTCCCCCTCCTCCCTCTCCCCCTCCTCCCTCCCCTCCCACCCACCTCCCTCCAGCTTCTCCTCCTCCATCCTCGCCCGCCGCACCTCCTGCATCCTCCCCACGTCCTCGCACTTCTCTCACCTCACGCTCTCCCTTCCTCCTCCCACGCATGCACACTCGCTCCCTTGACCCCATTCTTGGTCAACCACCTCTCATTCATGAAGACTCCCATGAGGAGTTTTGTGCCATTCACACTCACGTTCCTTCCCTTAACCCTGTGTACCTTGCCCTTTTGGGCGCGGTTGTACTTGGCACTCCCTCCTCACCTCTCATCTTCACGCCTACCACATTCCAGGAGGCAATCACGTGCCCTGACGCTGACAAATGGCTGGAGGCCATTCGCAAGGAGTGCGACGCCTTCATTCGCAATGATTCCTTCGTCGATGTCAAGCCGCCTCCAGATGCCAACATTGTCGCTGGCAAGTGGGTCTTCCGGGTGAAGCAGCTTCCGGGGGAGGAGCCCGTCTACAAAGCCCGTTACTGCGCCAAGGGCTTCACACAGACCTATGCCAAGGACTTTTGGGAAACCTTCTCACCTACCGCAAAATTCGGGACCCTTCGCACGCTTCTCGACTTTGGCTCCCGCAACGGCATGGAGATCTCATCAATGGATGTCTCTAACGCTTTTCTTCAGGGGAACCTCCACGAACAAATCTTCCTCGACCGCCCAGATGGCTTCCATGAAGCCTTCCCACCAGACACTGTCTGGGAACTACGCCGTCCAGTCTACGGCCTGAAGCAGGCTCCTCGGGAATGGCATGCTAAGCTGGCATCTACACTCTGTGCTCTCGGATTTCAACCATCTCACTCTGACGCCAGTCTCTTCATTCGGACCCGTCCCAGCCGCTTCTTCGTCCTAGTCTATGTTGACGACATGGTGCTCCTCGCCGACACCTCCGCCGACATGACCGACGTTAAGGAAGAACTACAAGCTCGTCTCCAGTGCAAGGACCTTGGCGAATTACGCCACTACTTGGGCATGGAGATCACACGCGATCGAGCTGCCCGCACCATCACCTTATCTCAATCTCACTATCTTCAGCAGGTGTTGGAGCGGTTCGACATGGCTCTCGCCAACCCAGTGGCCACTCCCCTTCCATTCGGCCATGGGCTTGCTCCACCCACCTCCCCCTCCGCCTCCACTCAGCCCTATGCGGAACTGGTTGGCTCCATCATGTATGCCATGATGGGGACCCGTCCCGACCTCGCCTACCCCATCAGCGTCCTGGCGCGTTTCGTCGGTACCGGTCGTCACACCTCCGTGCATTGGAGAGCCGCCAAACGAGTCCTACGCTACCTCCGTGGCACTCAGGACCATGTTCTCACCCTTGGTGGTGCCTCTCCCCCGCTCCTCACCGGCTTCAGTGACTCGTCTTGGGCAGACTCTCAGCCGGATCGCCGCTCTTCCCAAGGATATGGCTTCACGCTCGGTAGCGGCTTGGTCAGCTGGCGCTCCACCCGCTCCTCCGCCATCGCCCTCTCATCTTGTGAAGCCGAACTCTATGCTGGTACCATGGCTGCGCAGGAAGGACGCTGGCTTTCCTTCTTGCTAGCCGAGCTTGGGGCCCCCCAGCCATGCCCCACGCTCTGGTGCGACAACGCCAGCACGATCCACCTCACCAAGAATCCGGACTTCCACGGGCACTCCAAACACATCGAACTACGCAACTTCTACATTCGCGATCTTGTCCAGCAAGGCCATCTTGCCGTCCGAAAAATTGCCGCCGAAGCCAACCTCGCTGACATCTTCACCAAAGCTCTTCCGAAGCTAGCCCACCGGGCCTTCCTTCGCCTTCTTGGCCTCTCCCCGGCTTCATGATTCCGGGGTTGTGCACACTTATAAACCTCTTATGCTACGGGGTTGTGTTAGAATATAGCATAATGTATGTTTATATTTGTGCATGTGTTACACCCTAAAGTGGGTGTACACTTTGGGTCAAGGCGACCCAACCAATTTTGGTTGGGCGCCCCCAAACCCAACTCGACCGCAATTGACGGGGGGGGGCCAATAATGGTCCCCTCCAACGATTGTTGGTTACCCCAGCAATTGTTGGTCGACCCAATCTGATTGGTCCACCAATAAATGCTGAGGGTACCCCACTTCGTTCCCAAAACTTCTCATCTCCTATATGTACCGACACTCTTTCTAATCAACACAACACTTGAGATTCTTTCAACACCACCACCGTCACTGGTGGGCTGTGATGTGCACTTGTACAGTGAAGTAGACGACACGTGCCAAACAGTGATTTTGAGGGCATCATGGGTCGAACCACAGCCTCTACTTTGCCGAATGCACGTTCAATCAAAGAATGAGATACGCGAGGGTTGAGGCTTAATGCGCGCTCCAACATCCCAAAATAGCTAGTTTTTCTTCCATCTATTGCCATCTGCCCCCACTTGTTTTCTCTCCTCCCATTGTGAGGTGGTGCTTGTCAATGCTTCTTTCCCATAGCATTTCGAGCCTATAACATGAGTCGATCCTTGCCTCCTTGTTTCATTTCATGTTTCACAGTTGAATGTGTTTCATGGTTCACCTTAGCATCGTGGTGGTAATTCTTTCTGGCAGAGGAGCCACCATCAATGCCACAAACCTTCGTGGCCATGGCCACCAAGAACTCGTCTGTGGGGAGCTATTTGTGCGTTCGTGACCATGGCCTTCATTTGAGGGGAGCTATCCCTTTCTTGTTCCTGGATGTGTTTCGTGGTGCAGCTTTGGCGTGCTCATTCTGGTGATGCTATCAGGAAGAGGAGCCACCATCAGTGCGATCAGCCCAGCCACTCAGTCAGACGCCTGTGCCAGCCACGAGCCAATCTCCATCTCCAAATGGGTGTGTCTTCGAATGGATGTGTCTTTAGATGGGTGTGTTTTAAATGGGTGTGTTTCCTATTCCCGCTTCCGCACATCAGTGTCTGCACTGTTCTTTCTTTAATGCTCGAATCGCAACTGCTTACGCTCGTACTCTTCAGGGCTCCCTTCACCTGTTGTGCCCCTGTCATGTTCTTCCCGCCCGTGTCATGCATTCTCCCACTCCTGATCATACCGCCCTCTATCATGTATCTTCCAACCCTCCGTCATGTGTTTCCTGCCCCCCACCCCCATTGTGTCTGTCCTGCCACATATCCCAGGCAACGGATCTCATGGCAGAAGGGAAGACATCACCCCTCAGGGATCCGCGCATGGAAGCACCTGATGACATCACCATTCGCCTTGCCCACCTCGCTGTCACCTGCACTGCCATGCCCACCGCCTCCCGCCCCTCCATGTCCCGAGTGGCCCAATACCTGGAAATGATACGAGAGGAGGTAGGAGGGGGGGACGCGAGAGCGCGAGCTGCAGCGAGGGTAGACGAGAAGCTGTCGAGTCAGCAGTTACGGAGGAGCATGGAGGAGGACCTTGCATTGCTGAATGAGCAAGTCATGCATGAGGGTGACGCAACGGCTCTCATTGAGCAGACATGATGGCCGGCAGAACAGCTCGAAAGCTTGTGAAAAACTGTTATGATAACCTGATTTGGTTTTATATAGAAATGATAATTTTTAAACACACGAAGTGTTTTTCAAAATTACGTATTTCGAAAGCGCAGCTGCCTGTAACGCAGATTTGGCATCGTCGAAGTGCGCTAAACGCCCTTCTCCAACTACAAAACGTGGGTTGGAGCTCATTTCCCTCCACCCACGTCTCTCATTTTCCAACGGCTCATGCAACTCTCCCACCCCCCACCCCGACACCGAGGACATCTGCGACGCCGCTGGAACAGGAGGACAGACAGTTAGTCATATGACTGGTAGTACGCACGCATAATGCAGGATAGCTAGTACAATGCAATGGTAGGTGGAATCGGGTCATGTACTAGCATCTATATTGTCTAGCTCGAGGTGCATGTTGTAATTTGCCAGTTGCAATGAGAACGATGCCAAATGATCAGTATAAGAAAGCAAGCTTTCTAAATGTGTGTACAGTATGTATCCAAATGTGTGCCATGAGCATGCATCCCCAGAAACTCAGCCCATCTGTTCTGTACGATTTATAATGATTCGTTTTTAAGAGCAGGATTCTATTCTCAACGTTGAATAACAATGCATATCGGAAACAGGAATGGGAAGGAGCGGGGAGATGGAAACATTGATATATGGTGATCCTGGGCCGACAATATGAATACCGCATGGCCCCGGATATAAGCGCCGTCCTATTAAAGGCGCCTGCGCTTATATCTGGAGCATGGCGCTTATGGCCAGAACTCAAAACTAAGCGCCCCCCCAGTGAAACCCTGATTTATTATAGCGCATGCATTATTTCAATTTTGAAACCTGCTAATAAGAGTAATGAGTTTCGATTTTGAAGCGCACCCATTCCTTTTTGCTTCTGTTGACTCTCAAGTAATTTACAAGCTGCGTGTCTAGTCAGGATGTGTTGGCATAGCGGCAGATTGACAGGTCGTTGCCCCTGTGGGTTAAAGCGGCGGTATACATACTTCGCGGTATTTTTTGGGGTTATTTAGGATGCACACCCACCGACGCACACTGATTTGCTTACGAAAAACCCTCTTCCAAAATCAGTAGGTGCGAGCTGGTCAAACGGAACTGGCGAAATCCGCCAGTTTCGTGAAGATTTTCGGTTGAGAAACAACCCTCGGCGACTCCGCGATAATTTCGTGAGGTTGGGTTGGGGAGGGGATTGGCGAATTTGTATAGCCAATCAAGAGCAGGGAAATTTCAGGCGGGGGTTGTGTTGTGAAACACACCTCGCCATCGAAGCGGAGGGCTACCTGGTTTTCAACCTCCCGCCAGGTATGTAGACGACAGCTTTAAGAGAGAATCACTTGCGCGCGATTCTGATTCTTGACGCTATAATACATCGACTCGATTGGATACGCAAGAATGAAATGCACACTTATATGTCATTCTATAAGCGCATGCACTTATACCCCATACTCGATTAGAAGGGCCCCCCTAAAAAAAAGATTTTATTATAAGCGCATATGCGCTACTATCCAGGGTGATACGGTAGTGATTGAGGGATGAGTAGGCTGAGGGAGAGAATGAAGGAGCAACCACACATAAGTAATAGACAAGTCTTTCAGGGCAGCATTTTATTCCGGGCCTTCAAGTCCTTTTTATTATTATTGTTTTCTTTTCCATAATAAAGTTTTACTTCCGTTGGGCTGAGAAATTGCCTTAGGATCTTTTAGAGTTTAGTCCTTGAAGTAAATTGCAGCGAAAGACTGGAACATGTGCTAGTAAATTGTGAGAACAAGAATTGCTAATAAAGACAAGATACGAAAGTACCTATTAAGAGATGTACCTATCGAGTCGACTCTATGAAGCAGTATAATCATGTGTCATGCGAACAGTCGCAAGACTGTTCGCAGTACTACTTGTAACTTACGCGAAAGGACACATGCTACAGTAACATGCACACATATAGCAATACTACGATATTACTGTAGTGTTTAAACTTATCGAACTACAGAATTGTGTAAGTTTGTGCAAGTCAATTTATCTTTTCAAACACTCCCTTTCAATTCTGGAGTTCAATGTTGTCGGTGTTGTTGGTAATGTGCTCATGTTTAGTCAGCATCATGCAATACTAGAATTTCGGACGTGGCAGATGCTTGGTCTAGAAGTTCGTGGCCATTTCACTCGTGGGGCAGTAATCGAGCTGCAACTTGCCTTGCTCAATTTTGTCCTTGACAAATAATTAGCGAAGCGAGATATGCTTGGTTCGATTTGCGAACCCAGATTTGTTCGCAATGCGGATTGCGGACTGGTTGTGTGAGGATCTAGGATCGAGCTCAGAAAAGAGAATTGTAATTGAATGATCACCTGGGCACAACACGAGGCTATATATAGGCTCGACACAAGGACTCGTAACCAGGTGTTACGCGAAGGTTCTGAGGGTCGCAAAGCGTCCCGAACAGAGCCTTCCCGAATTCGGCAGAAGGCAATTCGGTGGCAACCGAAAAGCCCAGAATTCGGTGCACGCAACCTAGCTCGGTGCTATAACTATAATAAAATATAGGAAAGCACCTAGCCTAGGAAATCAAGTAATTCATGCATGCATATAATTATCCTATGCTAGAAATAGCATAATAAAGTAAAGGCAAGCAAGCATAGCTGGCATAAGCCATCGTACTCTCACAGGTTGTCGCAAAAGAGTTGAAACTGTGACAGGTCCAGTAACTTTGCTTCACAAAGCAACTCGCAAAGGTAAAGACGTTCCTTTGTGGCGGTGCAGGCATCAATAAACTTTGCCTCATCTGATGAGAGTGCAATTAGCTCGTGCTTGCTTGACTGCCAGGAGATTGTTCCAACAGGCTCAAGGCGGAAAATATAGCCCGTATGTGAGCGTCTGTTTGCAGTATCACTCACATGATCTGCATCTACATAGTCGAGTAGAGATAGCGGCGACTTCGGTGACTTGTGATACGTAAGCCTGATAGTAGACGTAGATACGAAGTAGGAAACTGCTGCTTCCAGCTCCTGTAGGTTCTCCCCTACACGTTGCTTAAGAAATCGAGCGAGCTGGCTAGCCAAGTTGGCAGAATCCGGATGACACGTCACAGCCGCGAATAGAAGATTGTCAAGTAGTTGCTGATAGCGAGTAACACCAGTTGTTCAGAGAGGCTGGTTCAACTGCTTGATTAGAACGAAACGGTGTCGCGAAGGTAGTTATTGATAGAGGAAATCGCTTCAGCAGCTTCTCAGCGTACTTGTCCACGGAGAGGTGAATAGAAGTAGGTGTCTTGGTGATGTTTAAGCCGAGATACTGAGCAACGTCTGTCGATATCGTAACCGTCAGGCCATATTTCAGCTCCCCTTCATAGTAAGATATAGTATCACGTGTATTGCCGATGTAAAGTAAATCCTCGACGTAGACGACGAGTAACACGAATGCAGCTTCGCAGTTCATTTGGTACATGATATGATCATGAGGTAGTTGGCAAAATCCGATGCGAATGAGGCGCTCCTGTAGATTCTGCTGCCAGAGACGTGGCACTTGCTCAATGCCATAGAGAAATTGATTGAGGCGGCAGACCATGGAAGAACTGGTAACGTAACATTGCAGCTGCTTCACGAGAATAAGTGCGTCGACGAGAGCATAAAGAAACGCCATTGAGACATCGATCTGGCGAAGCTTAAGACCCAATGCTACTGCGAAGGCGAGTATAATTCAAAACAAAGTATACCGACTAACGAGAGCAAAATTCATGCCGTAGTCCACGCCCTGGTTCAGATCAAGCCCGCGAACGACCCTGTGAAGAAATGAGGAATGAATGATGAACTAGGAAATGAGTTGTGTACAAATATGAAACCCTAGAAAGCTGTACCCCATACTGTCTACCCCACTACAGCCTAGAAAGACTATAGCATATAAGTTTGACACACCCCCATAGGCAAAGTGGGGGAGAACAAGGGGTCACAAGACCAGTCAAGCAAAGCACAGCAAGCTCAGGGTGGATCACAACGTCACCACACATTCTGAGCACAAGTTCAAGGGCCACAAGGCCAGTTCACATGCAGAGATATATATATAAAGTTAAACATGCAAGTGCAAGTATATATAGGTCAAAGTACAAGCAAGGTCAAGAAGTGAGCAAGTGACGCAAAGTAGGTACAAGACCTAACAGAGTACAGAAGCGCTGATGATCACAAGGCGCGAGTGCCTTGGTGAAGATATCAGCAGTGTTGGCCTGAGAGGCCACGTAAGCAAGTCGCAGCTGGCCACGCAACTGCAGCTCACGAGCAAGGAAGTAGCGAAGAGCAATGTGCTTCGTTCTGTGCTCCAGTCTGTGCTCACGACACAAGGCCAGCATGGCCTTGTTGTCTA